TTCATTTAGACCTTTTTGAACCCTTGTCACAACTCCCTCTATGAGATCCCTGAAAGACAAACTTCTGTCAAAGGTGATTCCCAGGTACTGCAGTCTACTGTCTTTTCTTATGTCCCTGCCATTTATTTTAAGTATGGGGAACATCAGCTCTAACAATCCTGTTGTCCAAAGAACACCACAGGAGGGTTGCCTTTTCTGGGTTGAGTACAGCACTCATCTCTGTACACCAGTCAATCACCTTATCTACTTTTGCCTGTAACTCTTCAGCTATTTGATTCCGATCTCTCCCCTTCTTATATACAAGAACATCATCTGCAAATGTCAATATTCTGCCAACTCCAGGTGTTTCCAGGCAGGCAATCTTGCTTGTAAAAACATTGAATAGTACAGGTGAAACTGCATCCCTGTGGCAGTCCTGGAGCTATAATACATGGTTCAGAGGTCCATGAACCCAGGCAGAGAAAGGGTTTTTGTGTGGGCAGTATACAACAGTATGCAGAATTAGGACCTTTTTTTTAAAGACATCATTTTTACAGTGCTGCTGTAATAAGACAGTGGGCTGCACCGGTTTTTTTTTTTTTAAAGACCCTTCTAGGAAAAAGGTTTGACTGTATAGCCAATCTCCACTGTGAAGACAACACAAATCTGTATTTATACAGATTAGTGAGTGAGTGAGTGAAATTGTACCCTCATGACTGCACACCGAAAATTAACATCCGGTGACACAAAGTCCAATGCATCATTACTCTGATGATAATCCCCCAGGCCAAGTCCCGGAAACCATGTTCAAGTGAAAAAGTAAAAAAAAAAAGTAAAGGTCTCTTTTCCGCGCCTTTAGGCGCATAGGGAATATAGGGCTAGACCTATATTTTTATAGACTAATCGGCACAAGATTAGTGATGTGGTCAGCATCACACCGGACCTTCCGATCCGAGTTGAGAGTCTAGCAGCTCCACCATGGTGACTCCCTTGTTCAAGTGTATAAAGTTATATTAGTGCCCCAACAGTTACAAAGGAAACTGAAGTCCAAAACAGCTAGTTTTGTGCTTCTACAGATTAGCAGTATCTAGAAAGCAAATGTTACTGTGCTATGTTAAAACAGACAGTCTTAACATTTGATAAGCATTCAAAACAAAGGCACATAATTGTATATTTCAAAAAAAGTTTCTTTATTAGTAAAAGTCAATTTTCAAAAGCTCCAAGTTAGGTTGCTGAAAACAACTTTACTAATTATCCTTATGTTACAAGAGTGAATATTTTACATTAAGTAATCTCCATGCGTGATGGTCGCCTTTTCGGACTTTAATTTTGCATTTGTTTCTCCTCTCAGTATACACTTTGCACTTATTTGCACAGCTGTTTTTGATTAAGCGACACATTATTTTGGTAGTTTCTTAACAGTAACATTAATACTTAAGGCATTTGGTACCGCACATTTTTGCTAACTGTTATACATTTATTTTTGCTTATATGGATAAAACCAAACAGTTTAAAGTATTCCACTTGTGAAGGAAGTACATGGTCACTTATTTCATACAAACTCAGAGATGAACAATTTGAAGTTTTTGTTTGCGTTGGAAATAAATGGTGGTTATTTTGTGTGAACAGAGCCAATGTAAATGTAGACTGTTTGCTGAGATATGTAAAGCTTAGCTAACAGAAAAATCTCTCTTGTCAGATACACCTAGGTACAGAGATGAGACAAGAAAGACACAAAGATGTTGTCTTGTTGGTACAATAAGGGGTGCAGTCAATCGCAAGGGAAAACAAACTCCAAAAACTGCTTGTATAAATGGGATGTACTAAACACCAGACTTGATGACACAGAGCAGCATAATTGGTTTTATGGTGATGCCTTGGGTGTAAATTAGTGACATAAAAATGATTAGTGCTTCATTTGTAATTTCTGTAGTGTGTGTTTGGTTGCCATCTGTGACTTAGGCATTGTAAATGTGCTTTGTAATTCTGAAGATTTAATTTCCGGGTGCTCCCCATCTGGACTCCAGGACTCAATTCTAGAGAACAAAGAAGAGAGCTACTCCCTCCCCTACCCCAAAAAAAATGCTGTAGGAGATGACTAATTATAGGTGTTTGCTTCAAAGTTGGAGTGCATCTATCTGAGAGGTAATGAACCAACAGGCTCAAATATGGCAGATCTGTCAAACAGATGTGCACACAAAACATCAAAGTTCTGGATCAAGACAAAAGTCCAGGAATGAGTGAACAAGTACTTCTGTCAGAGTTTACAAACAGCAAACACTCAGAAAAAGCAGAAGTAGTCTAGGTGTGGATGAAATGACATCAGACTACTTTGCGTTGATTTTAAGAATGGTTTATAAGTAAACTACTGAATATAAAATGGCTGTGAGTCACTACAAAGAGTACAGTTGAATTTGAACTGGTTTACAATCAGTCATTTACAACTTGAGATTTCTGTGTAGTAGATCGTGTGGCAGTTCCATCAAGTGACAATGTATAAAACTGTAATATGAAATAATCTACAATGAGGAAGTTTAAACTATGTATAATCTAAAATGCATACATATATTCATTATTGATTAGCTCAAAGCTGTAAGCAAGTGCTTATTTCCAATAGGGGTAATCTCAAAATAAAGATTATTATCATAAATACAATAAATGCAAATATAATTGTAGATTACAGTCTAGCACAGAATGTAGTAGTCTAGACTTGTAGATTAATTATCTAGAACAAATTAATTATCTAGCACAAATGATATAGCCTTCATGCACGCTTTTTGTCAATCATAGCACACAGTAGTCTAAATGTTAATTAATATCTAGCATGTCTACAATTGTCAATCCTTATATAGCATGCAACCAATTAGTTTACAACTGTAGATTTTTAATTATCATGCAGTCAAGTAGTTCACGATAGCAGATTATTGGCTACATGTAATTGAGTAGTCTGCACTAAAGATTTTAATTGATTGAGCAATTAACAAGTCTATAATGGTACACTATAAGCTACTATGCAGCCAAGTAGTCTACAAGTGTAGATTCTAATCTAGCATGCAATCCATAACTCTACAATTATAGACTACAATTTAACAGGCAGTCAAAATCTACAAATTTAATTATAATCTAGATGCAGTAAATAGGTCTACAACTGTAGATTATCATTAGTACAGCAATACTGCAGATTGTGTGTCCACAGTCTGGCAGTTATTAGAACAGAAGATTAATGCTGGCTACATTATGAATTTGTTATAACTTTAGATGAATCACATAAGACAAATTAAAATATGGCAGTCATTAGAAACAGATTATTGAAATGGTATGGTGAGATGGTATCTAGCAATATCTTTTCAGATCAACATGTGTAAAACTAAAACTATGAACAAAAATAATGACAACATTTTATATGAGCAATATGAGGGATAATTTTACATTCTGAAACATGAATCGAGCAATAGGTTATGATGATAAGGTGGTCCCTGTGTCTTTTTCATTTAAGACTATCAGTTTTAGCAATAAGACACTAGTATCATTGAAGATAAGGAATACCTTTCTTAACTTCTGGCCTGTTTAAGTATGATGCCAGTTTCATTTATTTAGAACAATAGGTATTTGATGGGTTAAAAGTAAAGGGCCCTTTTCCACACCTTCAGGTGAATTGGGCATATAAGGCCAGACCTAGACCAATCAGTATTCGGTAGTTGATATGGTCAACATTATGCTGGCCACCTTTACTTCCCAGAACTGTACCTGGTACCCATTTAGGGCTGGGTCGACCTTGGAGCCAAGGTCATTTTTGAAAAATGTCAGGCTCTATCAAGGCCTGAACCTATGAACCTCAGATCTGCAGGTGAGCATCTAGCTGCTACACCAGGGCGGCTCCCCTTTTTGATGGGTAGTGTGATAAATAGTGTGTTAAGTGTCTATACTTCTAGAGATTAGCTCACCTTCTTTTCAGACTGCGCTGACCTGGAAGTCCAGATGACTGAAATAAATCCCTGCCTTGAAGGAGTTTCAAACATAAGGCCACCCACCTGGCAAACAAGCATGCCAGTCACTGTGGCTCACAGGAATTATCATGTGCTCAAACTCTTTCGCTCTCAGACAATGTGTAGTGTGAGGTGGCATCCCCCTAGTGCAATGCTTTTCAACTAAGTTTACTTAGGGGCCAACATTCTGAAAATGGTTATTGTCACGGCCCAACATTTAAAGATCATTATTGCAATACAATTAGCAGTGATCCACCGGCCACTTGTTAGACCTCTGTGCGCCAGATTGGGCCTGTGGGTCACAAGTTGAACAGCCCTGCCATAGTGAGTCTCAATCATCAAACAGTGTATTCTCTTACATTTTCAATTTGGTCAGAGAATATCAGGAAATCTAGCAACTCATGGGGCCACATAATCTGTGTTTAGTTTTACGTTAGTTTTCATAATATTTGTTTTTTTCCCACTTTGGCATTGGCTGCCAGAGCTTCTCTGGTACTGAAAGCTTTATCAAAGGAATCAAACTGAAAAACATTTTAAATGGTTACAACTTTTCTTTGATCTAGCCTTAAATGGGTACCAAGTATTGCTCTGGGAAGAAAAGATGGCCGGCATGACACTGACCACATCACCCACCAAGCATCATTGAGTCTAGCATAATACGTCTGATGGGTCACTGGCATAAAAAGGGTCCTTACTTACTTTGCTGATCACTTCTTTACCTCTGTGATAAAATCTTCCATCTGATCTTGTCCATGTCCCTATATACTTCAGCTTGTGTCTTTGTTTCTTTAGTCCATATTCTACTTTGCTGCCGCTAGGCATCACAAGTTAACAGATTACCTGTATCTGAGCTAGGGTCTGCTCAGTTGCAAAATATGCTGCGATGTTGTGGAGTTTCAAGGCATCAGTGACTCCTTCAATCCATATTCTTCTTGGCTGGCCCTACCTCTTGGTGTTTGTACTTTCAAGAGCTTCTGTAATTGTCCCAAATTAATGCTTATGACATCTCAAGTGTGCTCGTTAATTTTAACAAATCTAAACCTGAAACAGAACATCATCTCTCCCTACACTTTGTAAGCTACCATTTCCTGCCGGACCACTGCCGATATTTTGATTGTTGAATGAAAGGTTCCGTCTCTGTGGTTTTTCTTTCTTCTCTTCTTTGTCATTTTCTCCCTCTCCTTGTTTGACCAGTTGTTGTTGCCACATGTCTGCATAAGTGCCACCCTTTTCCAGCAGCTCTGAATGTCTGTAAAAGAAAATGATGAATATTTAGTTTTCAAGAAATTATTGAACATGTGGCATGAGTTAATGTCAAGCATAGACATGTCAATGGAGCCACTGTGGTGTAGCGGCTAGATGCTCAGCTGCGTATCGGAAGGTCATGGGTTCAAGTCCTGATGGAGCTGGACTTCTTTTTCCAGAAATGACTTGGCTCCCAGGTCGACTCAGCCTTAAATGCATGCCAGGTAATGTCATGGGAAGTAAAGGTAGCTGGCATGAGACTGACATGCCCAATACACCTGAAAGCTTGGAAAAGGGTTCTTGACTTTGACATATAGGTATGTCTCTCTATCAGGAACTAAAAAAAAGGAAATACTGTCTAAGTCAGTGGTTACCAATCAGATAAGATGTTTGGGCCTCTCTTAATTTTTAAGCCACCCTACTCTCAAACCACATCTATGTTAACCATGCCTTTCAGTCTTATTTCAGATCAAGGGACCTTAACCCACCAGGAGTGGAACCCATCTTTCTCAAGCTTTATGTCACTCTCATTCTCCCGACCTAACTATCACATCTCATGGCACATTTGAGCAAATTAGCTCTCTCATTTGCAGCCCATCTTACCTCCACAACTTCTCCACACTCTGTGGACTAAAAAAAAAAAGAGGCTGATCACAACAACAGATTGTGACGGCCCTGGTTGTCCTGAAAAGGAGCATTGTTGGAGACGTTGTGACCTGGTGTTTGTTTGGCTTTTCCCGGCGGCTTTGCAGAACGGCAACCAAGCAGCAATAGGGCACCAGCGCAGCGATCAGCACGAGGTAAACCAAGCACCAGCAACAATCAGCTAAAACCCACAGATAAAAGCAATAAGAAAACTGGACTAGACCAGACCCAAAAATCCCAAGCACCACATCGGAATCAGGAAGCAAAAAACCGGATTATCAGGTATGACTACACACCACAAATAATTGAAAATCAAATAAGATTGCCAAGAAACCTTCCTTCATATAGCCGGCCTCCGTGCAGCAGAAAAAGGATCAATTTTTGTAATTTTTGTTGGACAACTGGAATTGGAAATAATTTTTAAGATGTGCTACAAGTCCCTTACTTTTTAATAGTCATAGTTAAGAGAGAAAAAAGCACTATATTAGGATCTTCCCTGTGTGGGTTCTGGTGACCCATAGGAATGGGACAGACCCATTGCCTCCCTAACAAGCATTTTGTAAAAGCCAACTATTTAGGGGTTTCTCCAATGTTGGAGCGCATCTGCATGAGTGCGGAGGAACCAACAGTATGCATACAAGTAGGCCACATCTGTAAAGCAGCTACGCCTGCAAAGTTCAAGTTCTGGGACAAGACTGAAATCCAGAAGTGGACAGACAACCAGAACTTTCCACCAAAGTTCACAGCCAGTGAATACTAAGAAAAAGAGGATCACATTAGGATTACAGAAAAAAACTTCTTCTTTCTTTTGTCAAAATCTGCTTGTGCCGCTAGGCGTCGCAGTCTATCAGATGATCGGCAACCGAGCCAGAGCGCGCTCAGTCGCTTCATATGCCGTGATGTTATAAAGTCTCAAGTTGTCCGTGACTCCTTCAATCCATCTTCTTCTTGGTCTTCCTCTGCCTCTTGGTGTTTCGATTTTCATGTTGTATGCTCTTAATGCTGGCATCGTTGGTTCCATTCTCATAAGGTGACCAAACGATTTCATTCTTTGCTTCTCAATAAATTTAACGATGGGTATGGTTCCAATAGTTCTTGTAATCAAATCGTTTCTCACTCTATCTCTTCTGGTTTTATTCACAGCCATTCTCAAACATCTCATTTCACAGGTGGTTAGTCTTCTCTCGTGTTCTTTTGTTAATGTCCAAGTCTGACACTGATAACCTAATGTCGGTATAAAGATTGTATTTATAATTTGTCTTTTTATCTCAGCTGGGACAGCAGGGTGTTTTAAAATTGGGGCAAGCTGGTATGCGACATTGTTGGCTTGTTGGATTCTTGCTTCGATCTCTCTGTCTATTTTACCATTGGATGTAAAGATACTTCCCAAGTATTTAAATTCTTTTTGTTTTAAGCTGTGATCTAGAATCTTTATGTCGATGGTCTGTTGCTCTCTACTTATGCTCATGACTTCTGTCTTTTCAGTATTGATCTTCATATGATGCTTGAGGCAACTGTCGTGTAGTAGGTTTATGTGGTCTTGCAGCTGTTTACTTCACTGTGAAATATGCATTGATCGTCGGCAAAGAGCAGCAGTTGAAGTCCTCCTGTTTATCGACATCTGTTGGTGTTATGTCTATTTTATTAATATTGTCCATAAATATTATGAAAAGTAAAGGTGATAATACACAACCTTGTCTTACTCCTGATGTTACTGGAAACCAGTCTGTGATGCCAGCTCTTGTTCTAATGGCGCTTTCACTTTGTCTATAAAAAGCCCTAACACAATCTAAAATTGTTCCATTTATACCGTAGTTTTTCAAGAACTTTCCATAATAAATTTCTGTTTACTCTATCGAAAGCTTGATCTATGAAAGCGATGTTCATTTGCTGTCTGTGTTCTATTGTCTTTTCGCTAACTTGGAAAGCAAAAATAGCGAAATACACCCTCTTCCTTTCCTAAATCCGACCTGTGATGGGCTCAGGATCGGTTCTACAACGGATCTAATTCGTTGTTCCAGAATTTTGGCAAACATTTTTCCTATAAGAAGGGAGATGCCTCTGTAATTGTTACCAATCTTGCTTATTGCTTTTTCTTTTCCAAATTGGGACTATAAGGGCTCTCTGCCAGCTATTGGTACAGTTCTTTCATTCCAGGCTTTCCTAAATATGTGGAGTAGCCAGGTGACTCCAATTTCTCCACAAGCCTGTATTGCCTCGGCTGATATTCCATCAATCCTAATGCCTTATTTTTGGGACTGCATCTGATTGCTTCTCTGACTTCTTGTTCGATTATTGTAGGCTGTTCCTCGTTTGTACATGATGGTACTGTTTCCTCATTCTGTTACATTCAGAAGAGACCTAGTAAAATATGGACTGGTGGTATAAAGAACAGCCTTATATAAATAAACCTTCATCTTAATATTTGAGTAAGACATTTTCAGTAGAGTGAGCTAATGGTTAAGAAGCATACAGCTAACATTATGTGTCTGGAATTGTAAACAATTTTAAAAAAAAAAGTTACTCACGTTCCTGACTCAAGAATCTCGCCATCTTGTAAAACAAGAATCTGGTGTGCATGAATTATGGTTGACAAACGGTGGGCCACAATGATTGTTGTCCTGTTTTCACAAACTCTGGCTAAAGATGACTGGATGCTTCGTTCCGTGCGTGTGTCAAGGGCAGATGTTGCCTGGGGGGAAAAAAGGGTGGGATGGGGGATAAGTTTTTATATGAAACATTATTTTATCAGCAGTCACAAATAATCACTTTTCTCTCTATACATATCCTCTTTACAATGCCTCATTTTAACTCTTAGTTTTACAGCTCAAATAAAAAAAAATTTTTTAATAGTCACTTAAAAAATATGTTTTAGCAGAATGGTTCAGTGGTCAGTCAATAGCCATGTTTAACCAGTCATTAAAAAAAAAAGTTTTACCACACAATCTTTGACAATGCTTTACCATGCTAAGTTAAGGTAGTGACCTTTAAGTCAGTCTTCTGTTGACAAAGAAGCTAAATCAAGTGGCTTTATTGCTAGCATTGTACATAAAATCCTTTACTTATGACAGGTTGGCATCTGTGGTTTTAAAGTTATCAATGTGGTTTATAAATCCAAAATGCCTAGTTCATTTTCCTAGTGTGGGTGATTTCGTAGCAAAACGCTTTGTCTCAATTTTGAAACCACTGAACTTTAAACTGGCTTGTAAAACACCAATCCCAAAGTTTGGAAAGCTTCTTCAAGCTCAGAAAGCACTGAAGTGTGCCCTATTTTATACTTGATGTGGATGTTAGGAGGTTATCAGGTCATGATTCAGCTTAGTATTTATGGAGTAGCTGGTATTATGCCTCAGTTGATAAGGCCTTTTCCATGAGGTTGAAATATTTCATCATCAATAGACTTCAACCTAATTACGAGGGAAAGAAAAAGAGATAAAATAAATGATTTAGCAAACCTCGTCAAGTAAGACTATAGCTGGAGCTTTCAGCAAAGTCCTGGCAATGGCCACTCTCTGTTTTTCTCCACCGCTGAGTCGCAGACCACGTTCGCCCACAACTGTGTCATACTCTAGAGGGAAATATACAAAAAATTACATAATAATTTGTTTAGGATGGAGTTAAAACATGTGAAGAAAGCATCAATTTTCTCCTTCAGTCTTCGCCCCTAAAAAGGGTGCCATTTAAGAAGACACCAGAACAAGACATAAACACCTTTTGCGATCTAACAAGACACACAAGAATTGGACAAGAACAACTTTGCCACATGACAAAACAAATAAAAATAAGATATCAACATCTCTGACACCTGGTAAGACACTTCCAGACATTCCTGGTTATTTTCTCATTCTTTCTGCAACATAAATTTGCTTGCTTACTTTTGGGAAAGGTAAGTATCCTCTCATGGATTTCTGCTGCTTTTGCTGCATCCTCAACCTCCTCATCTGTTGCATCAAGTCTCCCATATCTGATGTTGTACCTAGATGATATCCAATAAACACAGAAACTGTATTAGTGCAAGCAAAACATAATGAGAGATCTTTTTGCCAGGTCATGCCGATATTCGAGGCAACAAGCGTGCAAACCATCTTGCAGACGCTTGCGGTTGCGATAGCTGGTCTGGTACTAAACAAAAGCGATGTTAGCAATGCCATGCACAGCATTTACCATGAAGATGAACATGGCAAAAGGCATGACGCTGTATCCCTGGCTAGGCAGATGGACATGGGGTGCAACCTGGTACTGCAAAAAATGAACAATTCACTTAAGGAACAAGGTGTCTGATCAATCATGACAGAACAGACAACACCAGTCATTTTACGCTTGTGGGCTTTTGGGCTTTTGAGGAGGAAATCGGAGCACCTATGGATCTTACCAGAGTACTGTGATGAAGATCTTCACTAATCCCTAAAAAAAACAAAAAAAAACGTTATCAACAAGCTGTCATAGTCCAGCAGAAAATTCTTCACTGGAAGTGTAAATTATCAGAGACTGAGTTCTTTCTAGCAGGCTGAAAAATTAAATATCGTTGCATTCAGTCCAGATCAAGTTCATCTAAAGGTGTTAACAGATTAACAAGATTGATGTTGTGAGGGCTCTGTGGGAGCACCTGAACAGTGAGAAGGCACAAACAGATCTTTAAAGTCAGGGGAGAATGGCGCTGTGGGATCCGGCAGACGCTCAACACTCAAGGGAAAGGCGAGGCAGATTTAACAGAAGAGACAGTTACTGGTACCGATGGAATTCAAACTTGTTGCTTGCTGCTGAAGATTGGACAGAGCGCGAGTGATCCCGAGTGATATGATGTTGATTCTTAATTCAAATTAAAAAAATGAAAATTAAACAAAAATTTAAAAATTCAAGTTTTGTTAACTGATTAGATATCTTAAAAAAAAATAATAACAAGGATAATATATTCTACCCTGAAGTAGTAGATACAATTTTAATATTCTTGGGCAAAGGCAGAAAACTTTAGAGTTTGCGCGCATAATACATCATCATCATCAGTTAGCAGGTCATTTTGAGATTGTTATTCTCATCACGCTGTGCCTGAAAAAAACTCGGTCTTTCACCAGCTCTCCCGCCTCATGCACTTTCATTTCCAAGAATCAGTAATATCATGTGACCACCTTTGTATTGGTCGGCCCATGTTCCTCCTTCCTGGTACCATGCCTTCTTATATTATTTTTGGTGCTTGATATGGTCAAAATATTTCATCTTCCAAGACAAGATGTTGTTTATTAGCTAGTCTTCCTTCTGTCTGAGACATACTAGGAACATCAAAAATCCCTTGGCAGTTAAATATTGAAAAGAACAAGCTCAATGGGTCCCTGCTGAGGCACAATTTTTTAAAGTAAAAATTTCACTAACACACAAGTTCAAGGTACAGTCAAAAGGGCCAGCTTCAATGCACCATCATATTTCATAAGGCTCAGTCCCTCTGTGCAGAAGGGCTAACTACTTGCCAAGGGTTGCACAAAGCACAAACTACGTAGCTCCAGTGATGATCATCAGAGGATCTCTGTAAAAACTGCTCTCATGAACTGAAAGACATGGCCTGTTAATTTACCCATGACTGTCTGAATGTGAGGCAAACGGCTTCACCACTTTGCCATGGTGACTCCGTAGAAAGTACAGGGTGTAGTCAAAACTGCAACATGAACCATCACAAGAAGACAGCTTTACTGTAGGCAGAATGTTACCTTACTGAATACACTCACCTAATATCATTGTTAAATAGAACTGTGTCCTGGGGAACTACACCAATTACACTCCTCAAAGACTTTTGGGTTACCTAGGATATTTATTATAAACAATTATCAGCTGATAAGCAGAAACTAGTCAGTTTCAGAATCATCATCATCATCATGCGCCTTGCCAAGTGGCATGGGTGATCATGCCTCTCTACAATCTGCGATCGTCAACAACAGGTATCGGTTTGTGTGCCGACCACCCTTCAAGAACATGACAAAATGCTGTCAAGAATCTTCTCACATCCTTTTTTCCTTAGATCTTTCCAGTGGTCACAACATGTTCCAGTTTCCTTCTTCTCACAATATGACCAAAGAAAGTATGACTGTCTCTTTCTTATGTTTGTGGTAAGTTGTCTTCGAACTCTCACTTCTTTCAAAACATTTGGTTTGCCATTTTTTGGCTGTCCTGGGAATTCTAAGACGTTCATAAAACATTTCCAAAGCCTAAGAAAACTAGTTTTAGTCATGAGGAAAGTTACATTTTCCCTAGTGAATCATAGCAGTAAATAAATTATTTGCAGTTTCATAATACAATAATTTTAAATGACACAATAAATACTGCAGCTGGAAAACCTTCATCAGCTTATAACAAATGAACAATGATAACATGACAAACAAGAATGCACAAGATCAATTATCCGTAAGAGGAAGTCTTTCACAAAAATATCTATAACAACTCTGAACAGCAGAAGCTCTGGATGTCATTGCAAATAAAGAGAAGTGGCCCTGAAAGGTGGGATGGGCAGGCAGATGGCGGGTTAGGACAAGTTAACTCAAAAATTAGGATATTTATAGTTAAGTACTTTGGCTGCATCAGCAATTGCTTGCTGCTCTGCTCTGAATTATGTTGAGAGTTTTCTGGAGGCACATGAAATCTACTGTGGTTCCAATCTTGCAGCATGATGATCAAACCAGCTCCCCCATTTTTAGCTGCTCCCTCCAATGATCCATCGATCTATATTTGTGTCCATTCAGGTTTTGGTTAAGCATGTTCAAGAGTCTTTGCATGCAGTACTAGGTCACATTCTTCAGCCTTTCTGTCTATACCTGGGATTGTTGTTGTGACTATAGTTAGGCTGTAGGTCTATGATGTATGCCTTGACCATTTCCCATGTTGAATGGTCTTTAGAAAGGATGTGATAGTGTAACAATGGGATTTCCCAGAGGGTTCCTGATATGATGTAAGGGGGTCAAGAGGAAGTCAAGTGAGTAGAAACCAAGCGGGGAATACTAGCAAATTCTGTATTTAACTGAACTGTTGAAATGTGACTACCCATGGAAAGGAAGGAAGGTTTGAAGGTGAGAGAGAGAGATTGAGTCAGTCTGTGTTTGACTGTACGAGAGAAAGGTTGCCTGCAGCGAGTGACTGATGAACCTGTGATTGTTGAAAAATAAAACAAAGACAGAGAATGTATGGCAATGACAAGAGGAATGATTCTAATTTGTATCATCGAGTGATTGTGAATCTTCATGGCACCTTGATTTAGAGGCCAAATCTCAGCATATGTGAAATGCATGGACCAAAAGGTAACTGAATGTTATTATTCAATTGTGTGCCAGCTGTGACAGTGTTCATTTGGGAGTCTGAATACAACGAGTGAGAACATCAGACAATGACTGGACAACACCTTGGTTGTACAACAATAAACTGTAATAAGGAACACTTGGGTGTTGCCAATACATCAGTCCATCTGTTCATACTAACTTTCCATCAGGACAGATGGGAGAATGATATAGAAACCAGCAACACTGCAGTTTTTGGCGTAGAACAATTTTGATAGATGGTGAAAGCTTTGTCTTTTTGGCTGGTTTTTAGTCAAATTGTTTGCCATTCTGTGCATAGGGTTGTTGTTCATGGCATTTACATTTTTCTGTTAGAGTAAGCATCTTTTCTTTCTTACGATGGTTCAAGCTCTGAGGCCAAAAATTTCCTCCAGCTCATTGACTGGTGTGCTTCTCAAACCTCCAGTGATGATTCTGAGACCAGTTTTCTGTATTGTATTCTGTTCATTTAGATTTGATTTTGCTGCAGCTGACTATGCCCCTTTGCCATATTCCAGTTTTGGTCCTAAATGTTCTATGAATACTTGTCGTACAGTGTTGGCATCCGCACCTCAGCTCGCTGAAATAAGTTTCTTCATAAGTCTGAGCCACAAGCTAGCTTTCCTTTGGCTGTCTTCAATGTGTGGGCCCCAAGTTAGTCTTTTGCTAAATCTTACTCCCAAATATGTTGGGTTTTCCTCTTTTCGAGCCTCCTAGGTACAAATCAACTTGTTTTAGCTTTGTGGAGAGAAAACAGTCAAAATTTCTTAACTGTTTTCAAATGCTGTAAAAAGTATACATAATAATTACAAAAGAAACTTTAGTTTCTATTGATAGTTTCATATACTCACTTTGGCTATATCCTGCCCATCGATTTTGATACAACCTGAATTGACATCATAGAAGCGGAATAATAACCTCACAATTGTACTCTTGCCACTTCCTGTGTGACCAACCTAGAATTCAAAGGAAAAATAATTTTGGTAACAATATACAGGTTTTGTTGAAAAATAGTAACTTTTATGTATAATATATAGCTGAAATCTAAGCAAGAAATAGACTGCTCTACAGAAGAACAGACTACTACTGTCAAGTAAAGTAAAGGACCCTTTTCCACGCTTTTAAGCTTATAGGGCATATTGGGGTAAGACCTATATTTTATAGACCAACGGCACAAGGTGGGTGATGAGATCAGCATCACGCCGGCGGCCTCTACTTCATGGAACTGCACCCAGTACCCACTCAAGGCTGTGTTGACCTGGGAGCCAAGGTCATTTTTAACAAAAGTCCGGCTGCACCGGGGAGTGAACCCATGACCTTTCGATCCACGGCGTGCGTCTAGCCGCTCTGCCACGGCACTCCCACCCTACTAGTGTCAAATTAAAATTAAAAACAGATTATTGGGCAAAGATTAAAACTAGAACCAGACTGACTGATTACCATAATAATTAATGGTTTATGGTTTATTCAACGGATCAACATCATGGCACATGGGAGCAATCTATAAGTGCTCCATTTTACTTCTAATTCAAGCCGGAGTCTGAAGAATCATACCGCAGTGCAAGAACTCCATTGTGCACTGGATCCTGAAATACTTTGGGTAGATTTTTAGCTCCAAATTTTGTCCAGGCAGGGCCGTTAGGCTGCTCTATTTTTTATTTCCAACTGCTAAGCTATTTTTTTATGTGCACAACAATAGATATGGGTGTCTCATCTTAGTACCTAGAGACGAAGGGAAATTACTAGGAGTCCACAGGAAAAAATCCCAGTCTACACCGGGGGCTTCAACCTGAGACTTCTGGCATCGAGGCAGATGCCAAAAAATAATTAATGTACTTATGGAACGAGAAGCAACTGGTCAAGCTGTTAGAACGCTGGGATCTGAAGCTGCAGGCATGGTTCTGGGTAAGGTTGGGACATTTTTTTCCTGTTAGGGGCAAAAAATAAAATCTTTACTTGCACAGTCGGTAGCAACAGCACTAGCTTTGCAGACTTAAATCCCCATGCTCAAAGGACCCCCCCCCCCCCCCCTCCTCCTCCTTCCCCCGCTTACACCATAAATGTGGCATATACAGGTAGTGAGAGCACAGATTATGAAGCAAGATCAAGTACACAACTTTAGACAACATCTTTCTGCTATGAAGAGGTGCATCCTGAAACTGATGCCTGTTCAATTTAATTTTCAATATCACTGGGATGTTTTTGACATGGAGATCACAGCCATGAGGTCTAGCCATTCCAGTGAAAGTGTCAGCAAGTCTCTTGAAAATCCTTCTTTTTGTCTAGTGGATTCTCTCTCTAATAAAGACCTAGTATCAAACACAGTTCTGGCTAAGCCCATTTTCGGAGTTATATGCCTTAGAATAAACTTTGACCCTGGGTCCCTATCCCTCCTCTGTGGGCCACTTCCTGTCCACTGTGCCACTCCTGCCACGAAAGGTAAATTAGGTGCCTTTACTGCTCAAGCATGGAAGGAAATTCTGGCTCAAGCATGGAAGAACATTCTAGCTCAAGCATGGAAGGAAATTCTGGCTCAAGCATGGAAGGAAATTCTGGCTCAAGCATGGAAGGAAATTCTGGCTCAAGCAGGAAATTCTGCATCAAGCATGGAAGGAAATTCTGGCTCAAGCATGGAAGGAAATTCTGGCTCAAGCATGGAAGGAAATTCTGGCTCAAGCATGGAAGGAAATTCTGGCTCAAGCATGGAAGGAAATTCTAGCTCAAGCATGGAAGGAAATTCTAGCTCAAGCATGGAAGGAAATTCTGGCTCAAGCATGGAAGAAAATTCTAGCTCAAGCATGGAAGGAAATTCTGGCTCAAGCATGGAAGGAAATTCTGGCTCAAGCATAGAAGAAAATTCTAGCTCAAGCATGGAAGGAAATTCTGCCTCAAGCATGGAAGGAAATTCTGGCTCAAGCATGGAAGGAAATTCTGGCTCAAGCATGGAAGGAAATTCTGGCTCAAGCATGGAAGGAAATTCTGGCTCAAGCATGGAAGGAAATTCTGGCTCAAGCATGGAAGGAAATTCTGGCTCAAGCATGGAAGGAAATTCTAGCTCAAGCATGGAAGGAAATTCTGGCTCAAGCATGGAAGGAAATTCTGGCTCAAGCATGGAAGGAAATTCTGGCTCAAGCATGGAGGGAAATTCTAGCTCAAGCATGGAAGGAAATTCTGGCTCAAGCATGGAAGAAGATTTTTTGACAGGCATCACCATAAAGCTAAGTGATGTTTATGTAGTCTTGTTTTTAATTGTGTTGTATGCTGATGAATTTGGGAGAGAACTAAACAGGCTCCAGTGGAACAGCAGGTGAGGAAAAGATGCTGGCGCTGGATTGGACATACACTGAGAAAACAGGAGAACAGCATAACTAGAATGTCGTTGCATTGGAACCCAGAGGGGCATAGGAAAAAAAAAAAAAGGCCAAAAAACACATGGAGAAGAGAGCTGGAGAATGAAGTTAGAAAGATGGGGAGGACATGGGGAGAGCTCCACGCAATGGCGAAGGATAGAACAACTTGGCGTGAGTTGGTTGAGAGCCTATGCTCCATAGGGGGATAGAAAGGCAGAAGAAAGAAGAATGCTGATGAAAGCTGTCAAGTCTTCACAGATTTTGTTGTTGTTTGTTAATGAGGTACAATGAAGACTATAGTACATTTTCTAATTCATGCCATTGTATTTTCGGTATTATGTAAAGTTAGAGACTGAGATTACTGATTTTCCTGCACCAGGTTTCCTCCCATATGGCTCTCTTTGTCTCTGCAGAATCTTTACAGAATGGCTATCAGTCTATAAAGAAGAATCACAAATGATGAACTCCATAGCTCCAGCTACAATCCCTATGGATCTAACCCCCCCCCCCCCCCCAATGCAGTCTGTGAAATAAACCCACAACATTCAGAACACACAGAAAACAGATGGGCCACTTGCCTACAGAGATCCTATTATTTTGTTTTGTTTAAAGAAAAGACTATTATGTAAACTTTTTAAAAACAAAATGCTAAAAAAGAACATGTGCCTGCTTATTCTACTTGCACCACACACAAAAACACACAATAAACACATCTTACCAAAGCAAATGTGTGACCAGCTGGGACAGAGAAGGAAACATCCTTCAGTATTGGTTTGCTAAGAAAAACAAGATAAAGAGAGTACTGGTAATTCATGGACCCATCTTGACATCATAACTTTGCTGTTTCTCCAAGGAAACAGCACTAATGCTTCTGCTTCTACCGATGCCTCTCCATCTTATATTCCTCTTCCTCATTCTTTTTTTTCCCTTACCCTCCACATCCCCCCTTCCTTTTTTTCCCCCTAAACTAAACAATGCTTTACTTCATATCTTCACTTCTACTCGTGTGTCTGCTACTGCCCTGCTGCTGCTGGTTCATCTCCTTTTTCTCCTGTACAACTATTTTCAGCCCCACTTACCAATTTGCTGGTGATTAGGATTGAGACAATGGCTTCTGATGTTTGCTATCTTCTGCAATCATTGTAACTGCAGCAGTACCAACACTTGTCTATCCTAAATATTATCAGTGGGGGACTGGAGTTTTCACATTTACAACATACTTTAAACTTCACTGGACGATTATCTTTGATAAAGAAGAGGCTGGTGAAGAGTTAATGAAATCCTGACAAAAGTGCCTTTAGTTTCAAGTGACTGCATTTGTCCAAGTTTTGATGTGGCTTATTTGGTTTGTTCTTGTTGCTTGGCATGGAGGTGTGTCAGCACATGAACTAATACATGCTGCAGGAGATCGCAGATTGTGGAGAGGCATGATCGTCTGTGCCAGTTGGCAAGGCACCTGATGAATGATGATGATCTAGGTTTGTATGCACTGCGGAGAATCACAAGATCGGCTCTCAAATGGGAAAACAAGGGACTGAGACAACCAGGACATCCAAGAGAAACTCTCAAGTGAACGTTGAAGAAAGAAGCCAAAGATGCTAGGCTGGATTCCATTCATGATAGTGAAGTGACTACATAGGACAGAAGGGAATAGAGGAACAGACTGTGAGCCCTCTGTGACACATAATAACTAAAAAGGACAATGAATGAATGAAATACACAGTAGAAACCAGACACTTGAGAGTCAAGATCCAGAGATGGCCTCCATCCCTAACCACATCACTGACACGATTTTCTACAAATTTAACTGCATACAAATAAAGCAACATCACAGACTGCATTACTTACTTAGGTTCATACTGAAAGCTGACATTTTCAAACTCAATTGCGCCTCCCTTGACAACCAAATCTTTAGCTCCAGGGACATCCTTCACCTGAAAGAAAGAACAGGACACACTTAGTCGATCCTGTTCTACCTTGGGTTGTACAGGTTTGCCATAAAGATTGTAAGATTTCTCTTTCAGCAGTTTTCACTTTTAGTTTTGTTCCATTTCCTTTCTCTGTCAGTCAGTGACTGTAGGATGTTGCTTTCAATTGAACTCTGGATTGCTCTAGTGGTCTGGTTCCCTGATTATTAACCTTTCATGCCTGTCATGGTGGCTTATTCTTTTGAGGGAAACTTCTGAGTTTCTGCGAGTTCCTGGATTATTTTGTAAAGGGTTTCCAGGGTAAAAGGGTTAATACTTTGTTTATGTTATAACAATATAGGTAAAGTAAGTTATACTGTTGCATCTACTAAAGAACACTACTATATGGTGCTAGTTCAGTATTTTATAGATTAATCACTCAAAATATTCCCAGGGTTCTGGAGCTCTATTTTAGAGAACAAACAATAGACGTAGTGTCCCCCCACCCCCAGAAGCATGTCATAAAAGGCGACAGGTGAGGTTATTTCCAGTTAACTCAGAGTGCATCTGTCTGAGAGGAAAGGAAACAACCAACAGTCTGCATATAAATAAACCATATCTGTAAAATGGATGCCCACACAAAACTCAAGTTCTGGATCAAGACCAAAATCCAGCAGAAGTGGAGAAACTACCAAAACCTTTCACCGAGATTTACAGCCAGTCAACCGTAAAAAACAAATGTGATGCGGTCAGTGTGGTTATTCATTTGGAATGTTCCTGATTACTCGTGATGTCAGTTCTGAACTGAAATCAGCTGCCGATCTACTGAAGACAAAATTACATAGTAAAATCACAGACAACATGCAAATGATGGGGCTGCTTTGCAATTCCCTGAGAAAAGAAGTAGAACTAACCTTTTTTTTTTAAAGTATGAATTTTTGCTTTTCATAGAAAAAAAAAACTAACCTCAATTTCTGTCTCCAAAAGCTCAAACATATTTTCCATGTCAATGAATGCTTGCTGAATCATTCTACACAAAATAAAATAATATGTAACTTAGGTTTGAAAATGAATTTGTTTAAAGAGATAACTTAGAAAGTTATATTATTTCCATCTATAATTTGTACATGATTAAATATCCAAAGGATGGTATTTATGTATATTATGTGTCTATAGGTAATTTCTTAATAAGAATGTTGAGTTTTGAGCTATGAACTGACATTACAGTAGCCAGGAAAATTCCTCTATATACTCTGTTCTTCATCTTCAGCAGCCAACGAAGATTTCCAATTCCTATGGCGCCACATGCCTTTTGACTATATGTCCGTCTAGCATTTCCTCTGAGTGACCGTGTTGACCCGATCCCCTGGTAACTCCCTGCAGCATCATTCTCTCCAGACCATAATGACCAGTTCGTGCCTCTGCATTGTTCACCTGCTTCCAAAGAGCTTTAACCACATCTAGCTTGTCATGCATAAAGTCATCACCCATTGGTGCAGAACCAGCTAATCTGTCTGCCTGTTTATTTCCTAATGTTATTTCTCTGAAGTATGAGAGGGGGGGGGGATGTAAGGTTTTCTGTACGCTCTTTCTAATGCACTTCTTGATGCTGTCATTCCATATTCTGCATGGTCTTCCCTTTGCTTTGTGTTCATGATATTTCTTCAGCATGGCTTTCTGTGGCAGCTGGTACCGGGGAATTGTCAGCAGATGGCCAAATCATCTCATCTGCTACTTTTATATAAACTGTATGACTAGTTTCAGTCCTAGTCTTCTTCTAATGTCTTTATTTTTAACTCTTTCAGTCCCAAGGAAGGCATCATGCACTCATAGATTGCTACCTAGAAGTCCAATGAAATCAAGATATCCTGATTACACATTTGTCTGTACTATCTCTTCAGCCTCTGATGCTAAAACCTTGGGATTGAAAGAGTTAATTGTATCCCTTCTTGTCACTCCAGCAGCTCTCTTGAGACATTTCCTCTTTGTTGTTATTATTTTGCTCTCACTAACTTTAGTAAAGGTCTATGTTTGACACTGGCAGCATAAAGTTGGTCAAAAATAGATCTTATTAGATATACCTTGGTATTTTTATGACAATGAGTGTGCTCAGTGCCATTGTAGCACTAGTATTTACTAATGACAGTTGTATCAGTGGGTAAGTCTCCTGATGTAAAAATGGTATTCACTGGGAGTTTCTTTATACAACTGTCACCTAAGAATAATATTTTTCTGGGAATGCAATTCATGAAAACTCATCAGGCTTACATGGAAGGTAAGTGGTAAGGGATTCTTTTTTATGCCAGTGTGGCAGTTTTGTGTGTATGTGTAAGGTAATAACTAAAATCTAAGAATAATGTCAATGTATCATCATCATCAAGTGCCTTGCTGACTGGCATGGATGATCATTCCTTTCCACAACTAGAGATTTCAAACAATATATATCATCAATTCATGTGCTGACACCTTTTCAAGCCATGTCATCAAAAGAGGCTGTCAGTAATCTTCTCATGCTGTCTTCCTCTATCTCTTTTTCATTAATCTTCCCAGTTGTCACAACATATTCAAATCCTGCATAATCATATATTTAAAATGAATCAGTAAGACTGGAGCCACTGTGCTGTAGTGAATAGCTGCTTGCTTACGGCCCGAAGGTCTTGAGTTCAAATCTGCATCCAAGTCGGACTTGTTTAAAAAATTACCTTGCCACCCAGGTCAGCCCAGCGTAAAGCTGGTACAAGTTAATGTCCTCAGAAGATGTGCAAATTGAGGTGCTGTAAAAATATGAGTCTGGCATCATATGCCTGATGTGCTAGTGGTGTGGAAAGAGTCCTTTACTTTACTATCATGTGACAAAGCCATGTAAGAAACTTCCAGCTGGTATGGACGATAGGCAGGTTTACTGTCTTTAGTTGTGGCATGTTTTTGCAACTTACTAACAATAGTTAAAAACTCACAAGTTCCCCTAAAAAAAACAGCTACTGTGTTTTCTCCACATGTAAACTGATAGGATATAGCTTTGTCGTATGGTTACTAATTTCAGTGCATGGTGCGACACTGTGAGTTGAGGTTTTCATTTGGAATGCTTTTCGACTGTGTTGTCCAATGTGATTATTTGCATCGTGAACTGCAGATTCAGAAAATGGTGGCCTGTTGCCACAGAACTGGTGGTACCTCATGTGATTAATCGCATGTGCAACTACCGATCTGTTGTAACTGCTGCTTCCATCAATGATAACCTGCATTTCTAGTGCTGGACTGTTTGTGTTGGTACTTCCCACAGTTGCCATAGGCATTAAATACATGTATATTCTATTAGCTTTGCAGAGACTGCAATCTGTGCCAATTTTTCCACAGGGGACAGTAATTGACATTTTGTGTGGTTTTCCTTGGCTCAGGAACAGAGCAACCATGGGATGACAAATTTGATATGAAGCTGGAACTGCCACTACCTGATTATCACATAAAAGTCTAAAAACCTTACCTGTATGTGTTCCCTAAAGTATTCAGTGGGCCGTACAATTGAGAGGTATATGTTCCAAAGAGGACATAGTCTCCCACATTCAGCTTCAAGCCACCGATGCCATGGACCACAGCCCAGGCACACAACATGGATCCTGCAATCAGACTCACTGTGTTGATGATGTTCTGGAATAAGCTGAGCACGTTGAACACAGCATTGAACTTCCACTCAGAGAGCTGGGGATAAGATTAAATAAATACAATTCAAGGCTGCCCCATATAAAAAACTAAAAAGTAATGGGATAGGGTGTTCTAAAGATTACAATGTCTGCCCTTAAATTATGTCTCTTCCCTTTTGGCCTTTCTAACCCCTAAAGGAGCATAGGCACCTCAACCAACTCACACTAAGTTGTTCTACCCTCTGTTATCGCATGCATAAAGATGTATGTCAGAGAGAGTCGAGTGATACAAGTATTGAAGTAGATTTGTAATGACAGGCTGCCCTGGAGGCAGAAGCCCTGGAACAGTCATGACTCCTAGGCCTCAGACTTTCCTGCTGAGCTTAATGGACATTCAGACAAGACGAAATGGTGCTCTTGCAACAGGTGCTGAGGTTATGGTGTTATATTTTTATCATGCTGCGGTAGCAAATTGTGCACCTACCTGCACGACCAGAGTGACAAGTGGATGGTTGGTTCATCGGACAGAGGTTCTTGGACAATTTAATACTGTTACTTCTAAAGATGTAAAAGTGCCAAAAAACTGCAGATCTGAATTTAAAACTATTAAACAAGAGTAAGACATGGAAGGAATTAAAGAGATAACAAACATTAGTGTGGATTTCACGTCAAATGGTCGAGGGTCTACTGTTCACTGAAAGACAAAAGAAGAGGGGCTAAGGCAGAAGAAGCGAACATCTGAAGGAATTAATATCTATTTTTTCAATCAAAGTATAGATCTGGATAACAGAATCAGAAAGTAGCTAACAGTATTTAAAAAATAAACAATACTTAAACATATTTTGGCACCTATGGCTTTGTAGTAAATTTTACAGGACGTAAAATAAAATAACATTTGACTTACTGTTAATGAGAAAGATAAACCTGATTGGTTGTAACACAATTTCTCTGTTTATTTTGGAAATTAGGCAATCACTGAAATTATAATCTGTTTCTGTAAACTAACAACAGAGATAAAATGCCTTGGAAAAGCTGCAGGAGTTTCAAGAAAAGATAGAATACGAAATCACGAAATAAGACGAATGCTAGAAATAAAGCCAGTCTTACAGGTCATCAAAGAACAACAAATGAAGTGGTTTGGATACCTAACAAGAATGCCCTGGTACTATCAGCCACAGTGAGCCACACTAAAACGTTACAACGGGTATAGAGCGAGTGGAAGACCTCGGAAATTATGGAGTGATGGCATTAAGAACAGCCTTACAGAAATGAACATTAGTTTTAATAGTGATCTTAACCAGCTAATCCCTGAATATTACATCTCCCCCCGACACTTCGCTGAGGTACAAGAGAAAAGAAGAAGAAGACTGTAAACTTAAACAGGTATGAACAGTTTATCAACATGCTCTTTCTCCATCTCCCTTTCTCTGTCTCTCTCTATCAGTGCCAGAGTTTTTATCAATGCTTTCCAACTGCACATGGGGTAACTACCGCCTACTGGACCATCCAAATGCTACCCCCTCCCCACCCCCAAAAGCATTTTCAGCCTGCCTGGACCATCCCACTGCTGCTCAGGGAGCGGTAGTGTCCACTTTGAGAAACATTGCTGTAAACAAATATTTCAGCCTCTTTATTTTCTCAACATTCAAATGCATGGGATCACTTGTTCATGATTATCAAACATCATTTGAGTGTTATGCTGTTTCACAAGGGTCTTATACAAATATTTATGTGTGTAATATAAGTTATTGTTAAATACATGACTTATGATAGCACATGACAACATTATACCTGGTATTCTAATATGGCTTTCTCGTAATGTTCCCTTTCATAATCTGTTGCAGCGTAATACTTGACAGTCTCAAAATTCAGCAGCGTGTCCACAGCCCTGGCATTGGCAGCATTGTCGCGTACGTTTCTCTGCCGTCTGTACTTGGTTCTCCATTCTGTGGCTTTGACAGTGGCAGCTAAGAAACAAAAAAAGTATGTAAAGGACCCTTTAACTCTTTCAGTCTCAAGGAACACATAATTCGTTCATAGGTTCCTACCTAGAAGCCCATTGAATGCATGATGCGCCGATTCTATGTCTCATTTTTCTTCCCCTTGGGCCTGTGATGCTAAACCCTCTGGACTCAAAGAGTTAAACACCAGTGGGAAATCATGAATATGATTCGAGACTCATATTTGTATAAATCAACTGGCACTCGGTGGGTGATGTGGTCAAAATCTGCTGACTGCCTTTACTTCCCAGGAAATTACTTAAAATTCATTTTAGGCTAAGTCAACCAGGGAGCCAAGGTCAATTTGAAAAAAAAAATGTCTTGTTGTAAATTTGAACAGAAGACCTTTTGGACAGGCTGGCAAGCATCTAGTCATTATGCTACTGCAACACGTGACTGCAACTTGGGCACCTATAAAAAGTGTTTTGTATGGTTATTGGTTAAATTCTACTATCCCAGTCAATCCTACTTACTCAGTATGTCAATATTCCTTGACAAGATGAGACTCAAAAGTCTGAGTCATCAGGTCGCTATGGTGTCAAATATTTGGGAAGCAGTCCTGGACTGGAAAACATCAGATGTGATCTCATTCTGTTCCAGCCTAGCGAAAGCCAGCTACTTTTTGTGTGTGTATGTGTGTTGCTGTTTTACTTCTTTTGCTTCCTCTGCAGCTGCAGATGAACCAAACCATAATGAACACCGTCAGCAGTTGTGTTTCATTACACCATAATGGTCTTGTGGCTAAACGATCATGGGTTTGATTTACAGGTTGTGTCCTTCAGTTCATAAATGCAATTTTCACAGAGCTGAAAGAGAAACACTGCTGTAGCTACAGTATATGTTTTGTAGGACACTATCAGCAGGTGTCCAACCACTATGTGGAGAGAGACCGAACCATGTGAGATGAAACCCAGTGAAAAGAAGTCAATCCTCTCAACTTCAAACTGGGCTGCCATGTTGCTTTTTCAAACCCCATCAATAACTAGAGGAGTTGTGCTTAGCATGTTTCAAGTGGAAGCTAGCTGATTTCCCTTTATACACTTTAAGCAGACACTATTTAAGACATTATGTCATTGACTGGAAATGCCATGTGAAAAACTAACTGCTTACCTAAGTACATGGCCATACTGAGAAAAGTAATGATGCCAAGTGAAAAAGCTAACTGCTTACCTAAGTACATGGCCATACTGAGAAACGTAATGATAGCATGTGAAAAAGCTAACTGCTTACCTAAGTACATGGCCATACTGAGAAACGTAATGATGCCATGTGAAAAAGCTAACTGCTTACCTAAGTACATGGCCATACTGAGAAACGTAATGATGCCAAATAAATAGTTGAAGGCTGTGACAAAGTAGATAATGGCAATAACGATATCAGCAATGGTGGGCAGGATCTGGAACAGGATGTAGCTGTGGACGGAAATATGTACAGACTGTTATTTGTGAGGGGAGACAAAAATATGTACACACTGTTATTTGTGAGGGGAGACAAAAATATGTCAACTGTTATTTGTGAGGGTGAAAAATATGTACACACTGTTATTTGTGAGGGGGGGGGGGGAATATGTACAGACTGTTATTTGTGAGGGGAGACAAAAATGTGTACATAATGTTATTTGTGAGGGGAGACAAAAATATGTACAGACTGGTATTTGTGAGGGGAGACAAAAATATGTCAACTGTTATTTGTGAGGGGAGACAAAAATATGTACAAACTGGTATTTGTGAGGGGAGACAAAAATATGTACAGACTGTTATTTGTGAGGGGAGACAAAAATATGTACAGACTGTTATTTGTGAGGGGAGACAAAAATATGTACAGACTGTTATTTGTGAGGGGAGACATAAATATGTACAGACTGGTATTTGTGAGGGGAGACAAAAATATGTACAGACTGTTATTTGTGAGGGGAGACAAAAATATGTACAGACTGGTATTTGTGAGGGGAGACAAAAATATGTACAGACTGTTATTTGTGAGGGGAGACAAAAATATGTCAACTGTTATTTGTGAGGGGAGACAAAATTATGTACAGACTGGTATTTGTGAGGGGAGACAAAAATATGTACAGACTGTTATTTGTGAGGGGAGACAAAAATATGTACAGACTGTTATTTGTGAGGGGAGACAAAAATATGTACAGACTGTTATTTGTGAGGGGAGACAAAAATATGTCGACTGTTATTTGTGAGGGGAGACAAAAATATGTACAGACTGGTATTTGTGAGGGGAGACAAAAATATGTACAGACTGGTATTTGTGAGGGGAGACAAAAATATGTACAGACTGTTATTTGTGAGGGGGAAAAAATATGTACAGACTGTTATTTGTGAGGGGAGACAAAAACATCTCTGACAGGCTGTCAATGTGTAAATTTTAACACTTTCAGTCCCAGGATGGTTAGCATCAGAGGCCCCAGCGGTTATAAAGAGAGATGTAAAACTGGTGCATCTTGCGATCACTGGGCTTCTAAGTAGGAACCTATGAATGTACGATGCGTTCCTTGAGACTGAAAGAGTTAGGGCTTGTGAACATTAGTAAATGAGATTTAAATGTTGTTTAAATGCTAATCAAATGTGAATGTTCATAAAATGTGTCAAGAACACAGGACATTCAATGAAAAACCCCTAAAACAGTTTTTTATCTAGGTCACTAAAAATTTTTTTATTTTATTTTTTTATATGGTTCTGCTGTCTTTTTTGTTGAGTCCCACCTGTAGCAGGGACATATTTTCAACTTACATACATGCTTCTGTCTCCTTACATACATGCTTCTGTCTCCTTACACACATGCTTCTGTCTACTTATACACATGCTTCTGTCTCCTTACATACATACTTCTGTCTCCTTACACACATGCTTCTGTCTCCTTACACACATACTTCTGTCTCCTTACACACATGCTTCTGTCTCCTTACATACATGCTTCTGTCTCCTTACATACATGCTTCTGTCTCCTTACACATACATGCTTCTGTCTCCTTACACACATGCTTCTGTCTCCTTACACACATGCTTCTGTCTCCTTACACACATGCTTCTGTCTTCTTACACACATGCTTCTGTCTCCTTACACACATGCTTCTGTCTCCTTACACACATGCTTCTGTCTCCTTACACACATGCTTCTGTCTCCTTACACACATGCTTCTGTCTCCTTACACACATGCTTCTGTCTTCTTACAACACATGCTTCTGTCTCCTTACACACATGCTTCTGTCTCCTTACACACATGCTTCTGTCTCCTTACACACATGCTTCTGTCTCCTTACACACATGCTTCTGTCTCCTTACACACATGCTTCTGTCTCCTTACACACATGCTTCTGTCTCCTTACACACATGCTTCTGTGTCCTTACACACATGCTTCTGTCTCCTTATACACATGCTTCTGTCTCCTTACACACATACTTCTGTCTCCTTACACACATGCTTCTGTCTCCTTACATACATGCTTCTGTCTCCTTACACACATGCTTCTGTCTCCTTACACACATGCTTCTGTCTCCTTACATACATGCTTCTGTCTCCTTACACACATGCTTCTGTCTCCTTTCACACATGCTTCTGTCTCCTTACACACATGCTTCTGTCTCTTTACACACATGCTTCTGTCTCCTTACACACATTCTTCTGTCTCCTTACACGCATGCTTCTGCCTCTTTACACACATGCTTCTGTCTCCTTACACACATGCTTCTGTCTCCTTACACACATTCTTCTGTCTCCTTACACACATGCTTCTGTCTCCTTTCACACATTCTTCTGTCTCCTTACACACATGCTTCTGTCTCCTTACATACATGCTTCTGTCTCCTTACACACATGCTTCTGTCTCCTTACACACATGCTTCTGTCTCTTTACACACATGCTTCTGTCTCCTTACACACATTCTTCTGTCTCCTTACACGCATGCTTCTGCCTCTTTACACACATGCTTCTGTCTCCTTACACACATGCTTCTGTCTCTTTACACACATGCTTCTGTCTCCTTACACACATGCTTCTGTCTCCTCACACATACATGCTTCTGTCTCCTTACACACATGCTTCTGTCTCCTTATACACATGCTTCTGTCTCCTTACACACATACTTCTGTCTCCTTACACACATGCTTCTGTCTCCTTACATACATGCTTCTGTCTCCTTACACACATGCTTCTGTCTCCTTACACACATGCTTCTGTCTCCTTACATACATGCTTCTGTCTCATTACACACATGCTTCTGTCTCCTTTCACACATGCTTCTGTCTCCTTACACACATGCTTCTGTCTCTTTACACACATGCTTCTGTCTCCTTACACACATGCTTCTGTCTCCTTACACACATGCTTCTGCCTCTTTACACACATGCTTCTGTCTCCTTACACACATGCTTCTGTCTCCTTACACACATGCTTCTGTCTCCTTACACACATGCTTCTGTCTGCTTACACACATGCTTCTGTCTCCTTACACACATGCTTCTGTCTCCTTACACACATGCTTCTGTCTCCTTACACACATGCTTCTGTCTCCTTACACACATGCTTCTGTCTCCTTACACACATGAAACTCTTGAGTTTCTTAGTTTTAAAAGAAATCTACACTAGGATTAGTGGGAGCCTTCATAGCATATCAGCTAGACTCTCTCCTGTTGACCTGAATGTCTTGAGTTTAAAACTGCATCAAGTCAATTTTTCCCAAAATGATCTTGGCTCCCAGGTCTACCCAGCATTAAATGGTAATGTCCTAGGAAGTAAAGGCAGTCAGCGTGATGTTGACCAGATCATCAACTGAGTGGCAACTGGTTTGTAAAATTCAGTCTAGCATCATAGGCCTGCTACACAACTCGTGTAAAAAGGGTCAAGGAAATAATATCATTTTACTTCACCTTATTAACTTAACCCTTTCACTCTTTCCCAAACCAGGCACTTCCTGAGTGCAGCACACCCCCGCAAATGTTGATTTACCAGCATTGCTCCAGTGGTTTCTTCATCAGCATTCAGAGTTCTTGAGGTTCATTGCTGCAGATATCACTCACCTCCATTCATCTCTCTGGTTGACCCTCTCTTTCCACTTGGTGACACCAGGTGTTTGCAGGTCTGTACAGATATTATCTTTCCATGGTTTGCCTCATGGTCTATGATCATCCATCTCTGCAGATATCACCCACCTCCATTCATCTTATAGTGGTAATAGGCGGTCACGTCCCATTAGTCATAAATGGTAATAGGCGATTGGGTCCTGGGTTTATCTATTTATGGATGTTTTTGCAAACTATGTAAAATGTTTTTTTTTTTTTTTTTAAATTAGGTTTCTTCCTGAAGAAATTACTGAAAGAATGGTCACTGACTCTGACTAGGCCATTGTGGTGAAGGGAATAATTAGTAGCCTTTCCTCTCTGTTAGACATACAATTTTTTTTTAAAACTGATAATAAAGAATCAAACTGCCATATACTACTTTGTTATACCACTTGTGCGGTGTAGGCAGTAGGGTCTTTGAGCCTGATTTCTTACAGCTGCATGGCTAGTGCTGTCGCCAAGACCTTTATTTTGGCAGCAAAAAATCCCTTGCCTTACCGGGGATCGAACCCAGGTCTGCCACTTGAGAGCCCAGTGTTCTAACCATTCAGCCATAATAAACAACCAGCTATCTAATTTACCTTAACAGTGTTGTTACACTTGCTGTACCCCTGTCCACAACCCGAAGCATTTCTCCAGTTTTCTTACCGATGTGCCAACGAAGGGATAAACTGGAGAAAACAGAAGATGGTGTTTGAAAGTGGTTGTTCATCACTAAACATTTAATTTGTATTAAAATAACTTTGTATAGCAAGTTAAGATCAATTAAGGAAATCTTTTCACACCATTAAGTACACTGGGTAGAGGTCTACATATATGGGCAGACAAACTGGCAAGTAAGATGTCGCTGTATATGGAAGGAAGAATAGGGACAGCTGATGTCACTGATGTACGCTATATGCTGGTGTATAAGGACAAATCTCTTTTGTTAACATGATTACATGACCTGGGAATAAAACCTGGTGAAGCATGTGTGTGCCATCTTATCTTCAAGATCAAAATAAGAGCCATTATGTCCAACTCCTCTTGGAAACAATCAGTAGAGGTATCTTGGAGTGCCATCTACCTATGAGTGATGAACAAGCGTGAAAATACCCAATGTAAAGTGACTGATTGTGACATTATATCCCTAGCACTATATTTCTGGACCAGCTGGATGATGTGCTCAATATACACCTGAGAAATCTTATCGTTACCTATTTGTTTTTGTTTTTCTGGTCAATATGGTGGATAGACAGGTTTACTGATTTTACTAAAGGCAAGTTTTTTCTTCTGAAAATAGTTAACCATTGCATTTTCCTATACATGTGGACTGAAAGAGTACAACTAACTCCGTCGCTTGGCTACTGAGTTGAGGGCATGGTTCGACACTGTGAGCTGTGAATTTAATTTGGAATTTTTTTTCAACTGTGCCAGATATGGTTTTATGTTGTGAACTGCAGATTCAGATTCAGAAAATGGCAGAGAACTGGTAGTACCTAATATGATTAATTTGCATTTACAACTAATGATCTGTTGTGAATGCTGCTTTCATCGATGATGAACTGTGTTTCTAGTGTAAGAATGTTTGTGTTGGCACTTCTGATGACTGCCTTATGCATTTAATGCATGTGCACGCTACAGGCTACTGGCAGTGCTGACACTGCACTCTGTGTCAGCTTTTCACAAGGGGTGGTTATGTGTGGTTTCTGTTGGCAAAGGGACTCAGCAGCTATGGGGTGACCAGTATGTTGTAAAGTGGAACTGCCATTATTTGATTTAGGCTGGTTTAATCTGGAAGCCCAGGTTTAAAAAAAAAAATCATCCCCACATTGATAAAAATGTAAACACATGACCACTGGGCCAGCAGTATGGTAACCACCATACAACCACAGCTACGACTAAAATATTACAGGAAATGCATTCATTGGGTTTTGTATACAGTCTGTTTTATTTCAGTTTAGATAGATACAAAATTACCTGCTTAAATAGGGATAAAAACCCACTTCTTTTTACAACATCACTATTCATATGTGGATTCAGGGCATATAGACACCAGTCATCTGGGTAAGTACTCATGTGGTTTTGTTGCCTAAAGTTAGAGAATTCTCCTTCTCCTTCTCCTCCTCCTCCTCCTCCTCCCTGCTGCTGCTGCTGCTGCTGCTGCTGCTGCTGCTTCTTCTTCTTCTTCTTCTTCTTCTTCTTCTTCTTCTTCTTCTTCTTCTTCTTCTTCTTCTTCTTCTTCTTCTTCTTAGCGCTCGCTGCTTATAAACTCTGGTGGAAAGTTCTGGTTGTTCATCCAGTACTGGGTTTTGGTCTTAATCCAGAACCTGAGTTTTTTATGCAAATTCATTTTACAGTTTTGGCTTATTTGTATGCAGACTGTGGATTCCTCACCTCACAGCAGATGCACTCTAACTTTAAAGGAAACACTCCTAATTAGTCATCTTCTACGACATATTTGTGGTGGTTGGAGGCGGTGCAGTGAGTCTTTTCTTTAATCTCCAAAACTGAGCCGCGGAACCCACACAGGTAAAAAATATCTTTCAAAATGCACACTTGTTTCTGTTAAGTTTTTCTTTTCATGAAGCTCCCTAGCTATATGTTCATTAATTTTTTGGTAACACAGACACTGCTATTTATGGCACCCACTGCAACTAATAAGCATGCACGTCATCAAAGATGTCTAATTAAGGATTTGATGAAATCAGATATGCTGTGCTGAAAAATGCAAAGATGCATGTATCACAGTCTAGCTTTAAACCACAACACTACATACAAACCATCCTTTTATGGAAAAACACAGAAAAAGAAGATACTCACTTGTGTAGATGAGTGAAGAGTCTGAGCTGGATTGACCTGGTGCAGTACTGCTCCACTCGGATCCACAGTAAACTTCTCAAGTTGTTGACAAAACCAGCAGTGCCTGAATAAAGAATGGACATGTTCATCAACAGATCACAAATGAAGAACTGGCAGGGAAACAAAATTGTCATGCGTAGACAATTTATCAAAAAAGAAGATGGAGATGGCTTAGATATGTCTGTAGAATGCATTGTTGATATTTTGTTAAGGACAGCTATCTTGGGGATGTCAGATCAAAAAAGCAGATGTGGGTGACCTAAGATAACATAGACAGTAGAGATGGGAAGGGAGAAGTGTGAATTGAGATATGAAACCATGGCCAGAAAAGCTGCGGATCTGCAAAAATGGAGATCATTTTTTTTTTTTTTTTTTTTTTTTTTTTTTTAAATCGATCACCGGCTGTGAATTCTAGTGGAAGGTCCCGGTTAATCGTCCGCTTGGACTTTTGGCTTTCACCTGGACCTGATTTTTGCGTGTACAACCGTTTTTCATTTCCCTGCCTCATGGGCAGCTGTACTCCGACTTCGAAGGAAGACGTCAGGCCTATTTCTAGGTTGACTGTGGCCATTGTTTTGTGTGGGTCGAGACGTTGCCTGATTTGTGTGGTGTCCACTTTGTCTCCTCCGCAGGTATTGCCCTCGGGAGTACCCCTTTGGGGCAGCCCCCTGTGGAACAGTTAGCCCTCAAGGGAAGGCAGGGGCAGATCATGGGCATTCCCCGCCATCCAAGGAGGCTTCCATGCATGCAGAGCCGGCACATGGCGCTCTGGTTCTGGGCTCACCCAAGGAATCGTCACGTCCTGCACATGCCTGCTTAACCTCACAACCGTATCAGGCCTCCCGCTCGACAGGGGCTGCGCCCTCTGGAAGTCAGCGGGGAGCAGCCCGTGGGTTTTGGACTTTTGTGACCACACAGATAGGTACAACGTTAGATTTCTTTGACGAGCCGTTAGCCCGACAGGATTTTACATCCTGCATCAGGCATATCGTTATCAGTTTTGTCCCAACACTCGGGCGAGTGGGGTCTTTGGGTGTGGACATTCGGTCTTTTTCAGTTCAATACAAATTTTGATGGTCAGATTTTGATCCGTATGATCTAGTTTTGTCGGACAGTTAGGATGGTTGCTGTTGTGGTGTACCTCAGCGCGGTGTCAACGACACTGAGAGTTAACCGAGGATGTACATGAATGGCCAGCCTATGGATGGTTGCTGTTGTGGTGTATCCCAGCGCGGTGACGACGACACTGGGGGTTAACCGAGGATGTACAAGGATGGCCAGCCTATGGATGGTTGCTGTTGTGGTGTACCTCAGCGCGGTGTCGACGACACTGAGGGTTAACAGAGGATGTGCAGTGAACAATGTTCTCTTTACTCCGCAGTCTTTTAACCAAGGGTTGTAATTTTGGCTGTACGTTTGGCAAACCTACTCATGTTCCTAATGAGTTTTGATAACATTTTTCACCCAAGCGTTTGGGGGCGGGCTGATGAGAGCCACAAGGACACATCACCTCTGGGAGCCGCCAACTCCAAGATCCCCTGACAGCTCTGTTGATGCTCATTTGAGACATTATCCGTGGCGCACGACGAGGACGTGCTGTAGGGGTCTTGCATGAGGTTCCGTACAACCAGGATAGTTAAGGACTGGCGCCCGAGTGACGTACGGAGTATCTCCTTATACAAATCATGTTGGGCTTAACTTCCCCTCACGCCTGTGACATAAATCACCGCGCCACAGATCAATTGTGAATGCTCTATGTCATTAATGGCATAAAGAAGATATAGCTGATATAGATGCACAGTATCTGTTCAATTAATGTTATCATCATAATGTAGACTATTGTGTTTTCATGTGAAAGAAGCAAGACATGGTTCAGTTATATAATAAGATTACTATAGTTGATTGGTTTGTTGGTTAACTGGCTGGCTGGTAGTTGCAAATCCTCTGGAAGACTGAGTTTAAACTATCAACTGGTTTCAGAATATGTGAGCCCTGAAAAGGATTTATCTACTGGACTGAGTTTGGTGTAGAGACTTTTCTCCTGGCTTGATACCAAAATATCCCTCCATGTGGACCTACTTGCAGACATCTTTTTCCTCACTCCATGTTGAGAAACTAGCAGAATGTGCAAGTCTGGAACTTCACATCTGCAGACAGACATGCAACCAGGTTCAATGTAGCATATATAGACTTGTTAGGAGCAGACCTATGTTGGTAATGTGGTTTCAACAGCTTGTAGTTCTCACTGTCAACAGATCTCAATCCACTGTCAAGAAAGACAATACTGTCATAAGACAGTGTGCAAGTTTTTTTTCTTCTTTACGTTCACAGGCTGTAAACTTTGGCAAAATGATTTATCCGTTTGTCCACTTTGGGACATTGTTTTTTTTCTCCCACTTGGGTTTGTCTCAGCCAGGTGCACTCTAACTTCAAAGGAAATGTTGATCCTGTCTACACTGGCTAGGTCTTTGGTCTGAAACCTCTGACTAGGATGACCGCTAAGTGGTAACAATAGGTCTTGACCAGTTTGAGCTCTAGTTCTGGTGCACCACCACGTGTGGTTCAGCACCTCAAAACCCTGCACCAAAGAGAAGCAAAACTTGGACAAGTGAAAAGACAGCAGAAGAACATCACAATGGAATTTAAGGATTCATGCATTGTGTGAGAAGTGCACTCTATTGTTTTTGAAGCACGTACCTCAAAGCTTACTCCGGAGAGTTATCCCTAAACACATGCTGAAAGACATAAAAATGAGAAGAAAGAGAAGTAGAAGAAAGGCCAGATATGTTCAATATAAATACCCAGTGTGTATTTTTTTAATTGTGACATAGAAATCTAAACACCAGTATACACTTTTAAGACTGCTTATATTATTATTTAAATATTTCAATGTTGGTAAATATCCGGAAACTTTATTGTTGTTATAAGCCTTGTGTAAGAATTTTAGAGACGCACAGAAGAAGCGAGTGACTATTTGAAAACTGCTCTAGTATCGTTTGTAAGACATTGAAAGTGCAGAGGGCTCAAAGAAAAGATGAATATTGGAAAATGTTCTACACCCTATGTCCCAGTCTTCTGTTTCTAAAACCTATTCTGTCTAAGCTGGTACATTAACTCATTCTACCAAGTAATTGTATTATTTCTTCCTCTACTGTGTTCACCCTAAAAAAGGCAGTTGGCATGTTGTATTGTGGTTTACAGCTAGGCTGCAATATCTCTGCCTTTCAGCCCAACACATTTGATTGCTGCAAATCCTTAATTGTTACCTGTTATGACATACTTTTTAAGAGGAAATGAGTATTATTCTTTTCCTCAAACTGGGGCCCAGGAACCCACATCAGCACTGTTGCTCTAGGGGCCAAACACTTTGGGACAGAAGACCTGTGGGTCTCACACCATATTCCTACTGTTCATAGATAATAGAAATGGGTCTGCTGCTAGTTTCCTTTTATTTTATTAATTCATTGCATCTACCTGTTCCTCCTTTCAGAAAAAGCAATGCCACGTAAATAAGGATGTAGTTCCACTTAAACTCCAGCTGTTGGTTCTCAACATTTGGGTCATAGGTCAAGCTGTTTACTGTAAACAAAATCAAACATAGACAAGAACATTAGAAAAATAGCAGTGCATTATCAGACATTTAAAATATGTTTTACAGGAGAAAGCAGTCAGGATTAACAAAAGGTTAAAAATAGGTTTTCATATGTTATGTATCAAATAAATTTAAAGTAGTTTTTTTTTTTTTTGCTTACAAATATCTACACAGTATAGACATAAAGAAAGAAAAATAAAAAGCCAACAATTACATTTTCAGAAAAATGATAATAACCAGGTATTAACTCTCTGAGTCCCAGGAAACACACCATACGTTCATAGGTTCCTACATGGAAGCCCAATGAACATATGATGCGTCAATTTTACTCTCTATTTACTACCCCTTGGGTCTGTGATGCTAAACCCCCTGGGACTCAAAGAGTTAAAAATCATTATCATCATCAAATGCCTTGCCAACTGGTATGAGTGATTATGCCTCTCCACAATCTGCAATCTTCAACAGCGTGTGTTTAACTCTTTCAGTCCCGAGGAAAGCATCAAAAATTCATAAGTTCCTACCTAGAAGCCCAATGAATGCAGAATGAACTACTTTTACTTTACTACCCCTTGGGCCTCTGATGCTAAACCCCCTGGGGAATGAGAATTAAAAGTATGATTTACTAGGGAAAAATACAGCAGTGGTTTCCCCTTCCCTTCCACCGGTTTGTGTATGGCCTGACTCCAATAGCCTTTGTCTAACAGATGTATCCTGCAAAGCAGCATACAGGTGAGGTTATAAAGGTATCTTTTACCTTGTCCGCATCTCAGAATCTTGAGGTATTTTATAGATCGAGTCATCTGACCAACTAAGTTCCCTCCTCTTAATGACTCCCACTTGTGTTGGTGCGCAGCTGCTTATTCAATATATTTCCAGCTAACTCTATATTAGAAGCCGCTCCACTAATTCCCACTCAGTGGAAATGCCTAGTAGTGGGATAGGCTCCTACCAGAACATCAAATATACCACAGAAAGTACTTCAAGACATTTGCACTATAATAACAGCAAATAAAAATTACTGTAACAGGAGCCAAAGGTGGCATAATGGCTAGCAGACTGACCTATGGCCATATGTACATACAATTTTATGGGTTCCTTCTCAGGCAGCCCAGGTATAACCAAGACAAGCTCCAGCTGACGGGCCATGCAGCTGACACCACCAAACCGGGCTAACGATATGTTAACACAGCGATTCTCAAACTGGGTGCAGAGAGCTTATGTCAGGGGTGCCGCTGCAATAATCAAGGGTAGGTGGGCTTTATTTTCTGCCCGACGACAAAATTTTGAGAAAAACGCTGCGTTAACGTGTCAGCAACATGGACCTTCAGCTGGAGCCGATCTTGGTTCAACCCTTTTCCCCCATAAGAATGTTAAAAAATACATGTTTTCTAATTCTAAAAAAAAAAAAAAAAAAAACTTCTCTGAAACGCCATGCTAAAAGACAAGAAGAAAAGAAAAACATAAGAGATATGGAGTCTAGGACTTTTTATACATATCCAGGGAATTGACCCCCTTGACCACCGAACGTGAAATCCTTCGCTTCTTTGATGATGTCACGCCACTAAGAAAGATTTACAACAATACTCTCTAGTGCCTAAATGACCAAATCAGAAAAAGAGAGTGAATGTGTATTCCCACGTGTGTGCATTTGTATGTGTGTGTACACTCGCGAGCGTGTGTGTATGTGTGTGCGCATGTGTGTGTGAGAGAGAATGTAGCAGCTAGCCCACTTATCTACTTATCTCCCAGTCTTGCGGCTGTTGGTTTAAACCAAGGCAGACTTCTGAAAATGACTTAGGCTTCAAGGTCAGTCCAGCATAACATATGTATCGGGACATTATTTGGAAAGTAAAGGCAGTGAGTATGCTCTCGTTTGAATCCCCCATGTGATTGATGAGAGTGCTATGAAAATATAGAGATAACACTATATGCCGGGCAGCCATGGTGGCACAGTGCCTGCAAACTCAGTGGTTATGGGAGCAAATCTGCATCAAGATGAATTTTCTAAACTTGACAGGGTGGCCACAAGTTGATCTAGGTTAAAATGGGTACAGCGACATGTCTTAAGCAGTATGTTAAGATGATCAACCTGTTGTTGACTGCATCATCCATCAAGTGCTCACTGCTCTGTGTTATGTTACCACAATCAACATCACTACACATTGGGAACTCCCATGTGTGCTCAGTCCTTCGATGCAGCAGCTACTCCAGGGTACCTCTGCTGACTGTTCCTATGAGGGGTTGATTATATGTCTCCTATCTCGACCCTGAAAGATGGCACAGACATTCTTCATTGAGCTTTACTCCCAGGTTATGAAAACATAGAATTAGGAGTGAAAAAGGGTTCTTTATCATATGGCAAAGAAGCTTCCTGGGAAGTAAAGGCAGCCATGATGCTGACCACCACCACTGAATTGTCGACTGGTCTATAAAAAGCATGAATCTAGTATCATACACTTGATGCGACACTGGCATAAAGAAGATGATTAACTAATTTTTTTTTTTTTTTCAACAATTATTTGCCCAAACACCTCAAAGCAGGAAAACGTATTCTTTAGCCTATTTTTAAGCATATCCCCAAACACCTAGGAGCATGAAAACGAGTTGTTTACCTTATTTCTTACCCATATCCCCAAACACCTCAAAGCGTGAAAACATATTCTTTAGCCTATTTTTAAGCATATCCCCAAACTCCTAAGAGCATGAAAACGAGTTGCCTACCTTATTTCTTACCCATACCCCCAAACACCTAAGAGCATGAAAACGAGTTGTTTACCTTATTTCTTACCCATATCCCCATACACCTCAAAGCATGAAAACGGGTCCTTTAGCCTCTTTTTAACCATATACTCAAACACCTCAAGGCATGAAAAGAGGTCCTCTACTGTTTTTGTTTCAGCAAATTATTTATGAACAATTTTTAACTAATTTGGTAACTGACCAATGTTCTTGCTGTAAATAGGCACAAAAACATTGATGACTCTTCCAACGACCAAAAGAACAAGACAGATGCCCACGACGAACTGCAGGATAAAGCTAGTCTTGGGCCACACATATGGGAGCATCATTCGGACCTTAGTGAAGCTATTGCTCCAGGTCGACTTGCCCTGCTCTGCTGGATTGCTCGGCTGTAAAAAACAACAAAAAACATCATTTATTAGTTTAAAAATTATATTCACTCATTATTCATTACAATCATCATCATCAGCACGTAGGTTGTCTTTTGACAGGAGTGGCTAAACAAGTGCTTGGAACATTAGAATAGTGGTTGAACATAGTTCAAATCCTAGATAAGGGGATAGTAATTTGTTTTCTTTTTTCTTGGTGGGAAAAATAATCATTCTTAACTTTTGCAGTTCATAGTGACTACACTAGTCATCCTGCCTTAACCATCAGGATCAAGATCTCCTTTGCCTTCAGCAAAGTATCGAAAAGGGTGTAAACAGGCAGTAAAGACAGTTTACTGCCATCACAGTCTAATGAAAGAGACTCAGTAGCTTGTCAGTTCCCCTCTCATGTATCATCATGCCCAAGGGGGTCTCTTCTTCACGTTCACCGGCTATAAACTCCAGTGAACAGCTCTAGTTGTTCATCCACATCTGGGCTTCAGTCTTGTTCCAGAACTTGAGCTTTCTTTGCATATCCATTTTATATATCTGGCTTATTTGTACAGAGACTAAGCTTCCTTGCATCCTAGGCATATGCACTCTGACTTTGAAAGAAATATCTCTAATTAGTCAATCAACTTTTTCAGCATGCTTTGTGCAGTGGATCTATTACCCCCCCCCCCTTACCCCTCTCCCCCCTACAATGGAACATACATGTGGACCAAGGTGTCTCTAATGTCCTCTGTCCTATGTACACATATTAATATCTTCATCTTCCTTGAACCATGCATTTTTCTTCCTTATCTTGTTTTGTATTCACCCTTGTTTTGTAATTTACACCTAGGCTACAATATCTGCTATTTTGACCGAATACATCTGATTTTGGCAAACGCTAATTTGTCAAAAACTATGGCTGAATTCAGTCACACTGTTTTTTGGGGGGATTCTTTTAACAGCAATAGATGAGATTCATTGGGCCATCTGATGAGACTGTCCTGTACCAACTGCCACAGTGAGCCATGAAGAAATATAATGGGAACAGAGCACGGTAAAGATCATGCAAAAGATGGAACAACTGCATCAAGAACATAATGAAAGAAATGAAGACAAACTTATACAACACATTTAAAAGAGCACATTATCATCATCAAGTGCCTTACAAACTTGCATGGGTGATCATGCCTCTTCACCAGCTGTGATCTTCAACTGCGTGTATCAGTTTGTATATTGACAACCCTCCATGCATGACAAAATGCTGTCAAGAATCTTGCACTGTCTTTTTATGTCTCTCTTTCTACAGATCTTTCCAGTGGTCACAACATGTTCCAGTTTCCTTCTTCTCATAACATGACCAAAGAATGATGACTGTGTCTTTCTGATGTTTGTGATAAGTTATCTTCGAGCCCTCACCTCTTTCAAAGCATCTGGGTTGAGCACATAATAGATCCTTACAACTACCTTTCCCAGTTTAGTTGAGGTGAGTTGAGTCAAGAAGTGACATCACAGCACTGAGGGCATTCCAATGCGTGCCCCCCCCCCCCCCCCCCCTTTCCATCCCAACACATATATAAATACACACACTTTGTGGAGGTAACTGGATGAAGTGAAGAAGCAGAAGATGTCATTTTTATTGATATATATTAATGGGGGACAAAATTAATCAAAATAGAAATCAAGAGTTAGATGTGCAGTTAAAAAAGGGTGCAATATTTCTTTATAACATCATGGGGCAGAAATTATTAACTCTTTCAGTATGTGAAGATACGTCCTCTCTGTAGTAGAATATTTTTCTCTCCCTTAGTTGTCATATTTGATTAATTACATCAGGGACAGGGAGAGTATATGATTCTATTAAAAAATTTTCTTTGTAAATTACTCCGCCTGCACCATGAAAAAAGTGTTTTCAAAATAATTGTTGTTTAGGAAGACAATGCACACACAAATAACAATAAATATTTTATTTAGATGCAATGAGGAAGTGAATATACTACCTCTTCATCTGTACTTGGCAGAGATGAGTATGGCGACTGAATTGGTCTTAGAAAACTCAGTGCCAATAAGAAAAAGACTGCAATGTAGCGTACAATAAATAAGCCCAATTCTGCTCTGTCCGAATCACTGAAAACCAAACAGAAGAAAATCTCAGGGTTGTTAATCTTAAACACTAGAAGATAGTAACAGTAAACAACAAAAATAAATGTAGGACAAACATAAAGAAAAATCACAGGTTTATTTTATAATACTGAACAACACTTTATCCTTTAGAATGATTTTAATAAAAAAAATATTTGACATAGTATACAAACACATGTTTACATTATGAATGGAAAAACACTGACGTAAAATGTAAATTCCATCTAATTTTGTTCATTCGAGCCTGTTGGCTCAAGCGTCTTTGGTTCAAACCTGCACCGCAGTGGATTTTTATAAATGATTTTGACAACCAGGTCAACCCAATTTAGTAGTGATACAATTAAATATAATGGTGGCTAGCATAATGTTGACCACATTTGCCATTGTTCTATATCAGTTCTATATCAGTTCTATATCAGTTCTATATCAGTTCTATATCAGTTCTATATCAGTTCTATATCAGTTCTATATCAGTTCTATATCAGTTCTATATCAAGGTAAAACTTTTGAGAAACATTCGTGCAAGCCAAACTTTACGTGTCACTGAGTGAATTACAAAAGACAGTGAAGTTCATACTAGAGACACCATTGCAGATATAGATACTCTATTTCAAGCAAACGAAAGAAGAAGAAAAAGAAGAAGTGGTCTGCAACATCGGAGGGGGTGCGGGGGTATGATGGGTTCGGAAGGGGGATCTTTATGGAGCCTCAAGAAATGTTGATGTTATTTATACTCACATTTTTTTTCTCACTTTAAATTTTTTTTTTTTAAACATTAGTGGTATTAAAAACATTGCCACAATGCCAGTTTGACATGCTTATTAGGGGGCGGTGGGCCTATCCTTCTTACCTCCAAATGGAGCCACGCAACCCACATGGGGACAATTTAATGTGGTGATGAGGTATTTAAACAATATATACAGTTCATTAACTGAAGGGAATATAATTTACATTTAAGTAAAGGAATATGAACCCTGTCGATTGGCAAATGCAAATCATGAACACATGCAAATACCCCCAACAAAATCATTTAATGAAAACAAACATTTTTCACAGGTAATTAATATATATATTTTTTTATTTTTTATTTATTCAGCTGCAATATAAAAAATTTATAAAAAACATGTTTAATATAAAAAGATATATAAAGGAAGTAATCAATAAATGTAAACAGGGAGAAGTATTTAACGGAATACAGGAAGTTACTAAAAAGACTTATGTAATGTCCGTGGCAATAACACCAGCCTCAGGCTCACGACCCCTGTCTACACCGCCCTAAAAAGTTTTTCTTACAGACAGTAGTGACAGTTTGACTAAATATTTGACATCAACATGGCTTTTTAAAAAAAAAAAGCCATTCATTTTACACAAAAAACCCACAAGGAAAAGAACGTAGAGCAAAAGGTAGATCAAGAACAAGATGAAAAGATAACATTAGAGAAACTGTACATGATGCGTCTCTGGCCGAGGCAGCCAGATGAGCGAGAAGCAGAACCTTACATCTCCAATGACACCCAAAGCTGTATTTAAAAAAAAAAAAAATAATAAAGTAAAGAACAGGAAGAAGTAACGAAGACTACTGAAGGAATAAAAGAAGAAAAAAATACAAAATAAAGAATTTTAATATTTTTACAATTTAAAAGAGTTATCTAGTAACATAAGGTATCTAACAACACAAGAAGTGACATGGTTACAAATACAGTATTACTGAGAAAGTTGGAACAAGATCGTATCTTAAATATATCAATACACAAAGAATGAAATGGTTAAACCACCCAGTGAGAATGCAGAAGACCAAATTGAAAATGAGACTTTACAGCAGAATATCTGGGAGGAAGGTAAGGGGAAGACCATGAAAGAGATGGATAAAAGGGTGAAGCTGAAACCTGGAAAAAAAATTAGACATCTATCACCCAATCTACCCGAGAAGTGCAAGAAAAAAACACACAAAAAAGAACAACACTAGGTTACAACCCAATATCAGCGAGACAACAACAACAACAAAGATTCAACTGATGAGCACCACACTCAGACTAGACTCACTTTTTGACCTGCCACCACCAGGCTGGGCTGCTCCAGGAAACAAACATAACATTTTCTCTCACAAAGAATATCATCCAGAACAAGATCGACACAAAGCCTTGGCCTCTTGTGGAGAAGCTGGGCAACATGCTGCGTTTCTCCATGGCTAAGAGCCACCAGGCTACAATACATGCAGCAATCACTGCACATGCTTGCATCACCTTAGCAAACGGACAGATGTACATACAACAGAAAAGGTTAAAAATGTACATGCAGTAAGTAAACTAAAGGAAAGGACCCGTTTCACACCAGTGGTGCACTGTGCATATAATGCTTGACTCATATTTTTATAGACCAATCGGTCCTAGGCGAGTGATGTGGTCAAAATAATACCTCTTTTACTTCCCCTGACTTTACCTGGTATCCACTTCAGGCTGGGTCAAAATAGGAGCAAAGGTCATTTCAAACCTAAGATTATCTGGCTACAGTCAGAGCATCTAGCCTATGTGTCTTCTACATGCAAAAGAAATTATTAAAAATGGACTAGGTGGCCTGGATACTCTCCCCCTTCTTGCTGTTGTGTAGTTTGTGTTGAGAAAGGCTCCGGATAAAATATCTGATTTGCATTGTGTGTGTACATTATTTTCCTCCCCCCACCCCTTTTTTGTTTTAATTAAGCTTCTTACACAGTTCATCTGACTTTGTTTCATCTATGTGGTGCTTGAAGGCTCCAGCGGAAGATAAAGATGCAGCATGAACATGGATGGAATGAAGCTACAATAGAACATCATACCTGATATCCATACAGAGTTTGCTCATTAATAACCACATCACTGAGGACCATATGCAGCAGTGCTTCCAGTATCAAGATAATGATAAGAAATACCTGTAAACAAGAAATAAAAAATGACTGAAAGTTGTTACAGTAGAACCTCGCTTAACGAGCACCTCTCATAACGAGTAATTCGCATAACGAGCAAAACAAATTGTGAAAGAATGACTCGCTTAACGAGCGACGTTTCGCATAACCAGTGGCGAGGAGAGGGGAAGTCCCAGATTTTGTGCATGTTACATCAGTGTTTGATTGGCTCTGTGGCTAAGACGATACGAACGCTTCGTAATGCCGGGATGCCGTTTTGATCCCAGCTGCGGGCCATGCGACAGTCCAGAAAGCAATGGCAAATTACTGGACATAAATTTGCCTAGAAAAACCACACAAAAGCCAGGGGCTTTTGAGGTTTGTTCTGCTGTAAAGGATACGCAACTAACCTTACATCAGTGTTTAGCACTCGTTCCAGTAGCATTGTCGCTTGTGATCACACATGTTCTCAAACTTGTGTTACATTGTGATAAATGTACATGAATCCTCCAGGCCTACAAGATGACCTCTCTGAAGAATTTAAGTTAATCAAGATCCAGTTTCTGCCTCGCAACACCACTCAGTTACTCCAGCCAATAGACCAGCAAGTTATTTCTAACTTCAAGAGGCTCTACACTAAAGCACTCTTCGAGCATTGTTTCCAGGTGACTGAAGGCACCAACTTCACTCTCAAAGAGTTTTGGAAAAATCACTTTTACATCGTTGCCTGCAACAAGATGACTGACAAGGCGAGGGAAGGGGTTACCAAGAGAACCCTAACTTCTTCTTGGAGGAAGCTTTGGCCGGAGAGTGTTGTCGATCTGTGACTTGAGGGGTTCGAGACAGTACCTGTGAAACCTGTAGTCAACGAGATTGTGTCTTTGGCCACTATCATGGGATTGTAGGTGGATAACAGTGATATCGAAGAGCTTGTGAAAGAGCACAGCTCGTTAAGCGAGGTTCCACTGTATTTACAGGCAGTTATTGCTGTTATCCTCTGTGTCCTAGATGTCACTTCTCTAGTCAGTTATTACATTCACAAACTATGTTCAGGCACAGTCGATTATAACTTTTACCATCTGTCCTGACTGTTACTCCAAAAATCACAAATTACAACCTTTTAGTCATCACAACATCTAGCATCTGAATGGAGGTGAAGGTGGTAACTGCAGCTCTCCGGTGGCTAGAGAATAAGATGCATACACATGTCGTAATTGTAACAGACTCTGAAAGCATGCTGAGAAAGGTGAAGACAGGGATGCTTTGAGCAGAGTGGCAAGCTTCATGGGGAAGGTCACAGGTAGTGTGCATACTTTGGATCTTTTCT